AACTATAGTGTAAAAAATATATTTGTGATCTTAGGGCAGTTATTTTGAAAGAAAACCATTCAGAAAGGAGTGTCCTCAATTGACTGCAAAAAGTTATGTGTCCTCATTGGAGGGTCCTTACAAGTATTGGTGTGTGTGTGTGTGTGTGTGTGTTGGTGTGTGTGTGTGTGTGTGTGTGTGTGTGTGTGTGTGTGTGTGTGTGTGTGTGTGTGTGTGTGTGTGTGTGTGCGAGCGTGAATGCGTGCGCGCGTGTGTGTGTATGTTCTTATGTTTGTAATATTCATGTTCGAACTTCTCCAATTATTGATGTTTATTTTACTTGTCATTGTTCGCCATTTATAACATGCTTGTAATGCCATCATGGGCATATTGCCTTATGGAATAAAAGAATAAACTACTAAACTACTATCATATGCTTACACCTTAAGTGATGGCTACATTCTGAGATTTCTTATATAATAATGTAACAGAAAGAAGCATTGAATTTAGAACGACATTTTACAAAATGATATTCGTCTTCAATGTCTCTACATAAATTGTTTTGTAAATCAACCATCTTCTAGTTTCTAATTTTCATCAGTTGATGATACTCGTTTTGAAGAAATTGTATGTCTAGCATAATATGGTTTTAACACTATTGATATATCATGGTGAATAGTAATATCTGTGATATTTATTTAAAATCATAAGGGTTAACCAAATTATCTCTCAATTCTAGTTTTACTCATGGACCTAAGATCATCTAATTGTAAATAATTTTGATAATATCTGACCTTTTTTGTCAACTCTCGGATGTAAACATACATGACAGGGGTGTCGCTGTCCGAGTGGTTACGGTATTTGAATTCAAACCACGTGCCCCTCACTATTGAGTGTTAGGATTCCACCAGAGACTTTGGTATAAAACAATTCGAAATAACTCAAATGTACTTCTACTTCTTTTCTTGTTATTCCGAGTGTATTTTTTACATGAATGCATAATCATTACCACCTCCCGATACCGTAAAATATATTTGGTTCTCGCCAATCGATGTCAATAATAATAACTCAGAATTTATGTTACGACAATGGAAAATATTAAATCTTTCATGCAAATATTTAATCATACTGCTTTTCATAACTAACAACACATGGTAAAATTGATGCATCAAAAGATTGTCTGCGAACTGTACACAGGTTTGTCATCAAAGTGCTAAGATAAAGTCTTTATTTTATCACTGAATACTCCTCGCGGTAAATACATTTAACTATGTTAATTGCCTAACGTTGTTTTGTCAGCATTAAGACATTACTTTGCGCGAACAATGCCTAACTTTGCCTAATTTTGAAGCATTCAAAACAAAAGTCTAATAATTGTGGGTAACGATATTCATTTGCCTTTCACAAGTAACATTATGATTGTGATGCGAAAATTTACTTAAGTTGATATTCATTGTTGCACAAGCTGAACATAATATGTACACAACATTTAGAAAATTAATTATTATTGTAATGTTTACTTTATGGCATTTTTTCTATTTCTGAATTAGAAATTAATGGAACGAGCAATATTGCTATCTCTTTATTTAACTATGTAATATTTTCCTCTAATTAGAAGGCGAATGTAGTAATTGAAAATAACATAACATAACATAAATTTTATTTAGCATTAAACATATTATACAGTGTTAATAGCCAACATGGAGAAAAGAAAATGTTAATAATGGGATACGCAGTGAGGGTAATGGTTAACATGTTTTCCTGAAGAACAAAGATTTCTAATTCTTACGTAAAGTATAAAGCAAACGCATTTGTCTTTAATATGAAGTATACTGATTACACATTTTTCAGAAGAACGAATAGTCCAGTCATTCTAGCTCAAAATAGAGCCAAACCTCAAACAAATTGCAACAGAAAATATTTTGAGTGTTTTGAAACCCCAGACCTATATTGTATAACATATCAAAAGTCTAGAAAAATCTAAATTGGAGAATGTTTTCAAAAATTGAGATCAAATATATGGGTTTCATTGTATTTATTTTTTTAATTTGAACTCAATGTAATACACACATACAATTTTCCAATCAGTTTTATATATAATATGCATAAAAATATAGCTTAATCTATCCCTATAGTAACATAAAGTAATCAAAAAGTTGTTTTTGTTTAAAGAAACTACTTTTACCTTTCTAAAATTTATTAATTAACTTAAGTGGGTGGGGTAATATTATATTTTTACATTGCTGTAGATCAACAATTTATTGAAAGCTCTATGTTATATGATATTAAACAGAAAATACATAATGGTTTACGTACATGTGAAAACTGTCAAGTTTCAACGTTTTATGAATTTAATTTGCATTCCATCAATATTTAATGCATATATTGAAATATTTATATTAACATTGTACAGCTAGTGGGTGGGGTAATTTTATACAAAATAAAGAAACATTTAGGAAATCTATGTTATCTATGATAATAATATTGAGTTTTATATTAACTTGAATACTTTCAAGCACATCTGTTGTATTTTTTTCTCAGTCATTATATAACATCATGACATTGGGTCAAAAGAGGTGACATTGACCTTTTGGAAGGTCAATTTCAAATATTTGATACATTTGAGCATAAAATGTAAAAAAAAAATATTTGCAAATTTTAATTTGTAAAATATCTTCGCTAAGGATAAGCACAAGAATGTCATGACTTTTACAAAGCGTCACTCGCTTCTGTAATTTCTGGTCGACCAATCTTTTACTTTTTATCACTAGATGGTAGCACCTGAAATTCTTCTGGTATATCTTTTCCAGTTCTGAAATTAAAGGAGCATAAACATGTTTGATGGTAAAGAGCATCGGCTACAAGCAAGTTGTGAACCTGTTCTATCCTTGCTCTCACTGTATCAGACAAACAGTCATTCCTCTGTATACATATATTCAAAACAGTAGGTTCTAGTCTAATATGATAAAAGAAATTCGACACAAGTATTTTGTTAGTCATGCATACAAAACTTTTTTAGGGGTAAAGAAGATTTTTTACTAGACTGTTGGAGTAATTTTAAATATAAATACATATCGTTTGCGGCATAGAAGAATACACGTGAAGTTAACGTTCTCCGTCGCTGTGGCGATTGAAAAATACAAATACATTGTATGCTGTCATATGCGGCCATGCACAATTTCAATGCGATTTAAAAAAATGAATTCTAATTGACGATTATGTGCTGTTTTTCATACTTTATTTGTTTTCTTTTACATGCACTTTTTATCTAACTAAATTAAATGAATCATATATTTTATGCCTTCAACTTTAAGATGATCATGTGTATGAATCACAGCAATCGAAGCAATTAGCAGTTCAATAGTCATAGGTTTAGGCTGTTAGTACACTTACAGTGAATGGCATCGGGATGATTCCCTATGTATAAGAACAATAAAACATCAACCTTTTTTGCATAATGTGACAAATGCTATGTTTGCTTATATGGTAGGCATACTGTGTTTAATTATCATATTCTTGTTTCCTTGTAAAGAGGATATATTACGCAGTAATAAAGTGTTTGTTATATGAACTTTGAATAAATATTATTGAATTTATTGTTTAAATTACGGGTATTTCTGGATCATCCCTTGCATTCTTGTATTCTGGTTATTGGTAGCTGATTACGTATTGTTTCAGTTATCCCTGAACAGTACGTGTTATTATAAGATGTATTTTTCCTAAAAGGCTTTCCTTAAAATGTTTTAGGTGTATTTATTTGATCAAAGTTGCTGATATGACACACTTTTCTTGCATATCAGACTGGCGTTTCCCATGCCAGAAATTTCATCTGGCATAGGGGGGGGGGGGGGGGGGGGGGGGGGTTGGCAGATGAGTCGCGTGCTGTACAATGTCATGCTTAAAGCCCCAGTCACATTAGAGCTTGAGACCAGTGAAGACCAGTTCACGATCACCAGTGACCTCTGGTCGTGGACAATCTTTAAAACCTCTTACGACGGTCATCGGTGATCTTTGACAGTCGCAGGCTATCTTATTTAGGTCCCACGACCAATTTCAGTCGTAGAGAGGTTTTTGAGCTTGCGATCAAACAGGTCGCTAGTGATCTTATAAGTCTTAAGCTGTCGCGCGATGGTCGTTCAGAAGTGCAACAATCTTACGACAGTCTTTACAAATTGCCACTAGTCACTGATAATCTTGAGTAGTCTTTAGTAATCGTGTGATGGTCGTACGACTAGTTGTAGGTGATCGCATGACAGGTCGCGGGTAGTCGTAAGTAATCCCACACAATCTTGAGACCATCGTACGTTTGCTTATGACCTGTCGTGCGATTGTCAATGATGACTGGTCTTACGATAGTCGCAGAAGTAAATATATACGTGCAAAAATGGTTTTGGTCGCCGACAATCGCTGATGATCGTCAGTTTTACAAGTCGCCGGTGGTCGCAAGTAATCTTAAGCTCTAGTGTGACTGGGGTTTTAGGATGACGTAATTTTACCGTTATGAATGAAGTTGTAATTTCATACGCTGTTGTACGAAAATAGTTTCGATGTAATCATTGAAAATTAAGATAAAGAATTCAAAATATAATGTTATATCGTAAAATATGCAAGAAAAAATATCTGACATATGTTTGCGGTTCGGATCGGAATAATTCCGTCCTTCGGTAACCCGCCCATGTGCGGGTCACCTCGGGACGGATATTCCGATCCGAACCGCAACATATGACAGATATTATTATTATTTTCTAAGGTTTTAATCTAAAATTATAAATATAAAATACCTACTGGTTAAAGTGTTTGGAAGTAACGTAAAGATAAAGTCACATATTGAGTTTAAAAATGTCACCTTTCAATTTTAAGCATTTTTAATGCCCATCCGTGCATGCATTCAAAAATATTTGTACTGATATGTTACTACATGGAACTTATGACACACTTTAAAAGTTTGCTTATATGAAAAATATCATTAGAGTGATTTTGTGAAACAAATGTCTCAACTATGCATCTTTACCTTTAACTTGTATACATCACAGTGTCCTCAGAACACATGATCGGGCATAACAATTGGCTCTGGTGTGTTGATGAAATCTGTAACATAGAAATTACTTCAAGTTTGAAAGGATTAGAATCTTATTTTCATATTTACGTGAAATAAGGTTCTATAGAATACACCGATGTTTTTATTGTTACATGTATTTGCTTAATTTTGATTTTAAAAGTGATAAAATTATACTATAGTCAACTTAGGTATGCATTCCGAAAGAAATACTAATATATCGCTGTGAATTAATCTTATACATGTAATGCTCTTTTTCAAATTCACGCAGGTGCTATTGTATGCAGAAAAGATTTTCTTTTAAATTATGGATCAACTGTGCATGTTCACCCTGAACTCATACACATCGCCAATCATGAACCATAACTAGAAATCACGTTTGTTTATTGATAAATTTTTCATGTCACCTTTTCATGTATAAATTTCTTCTATGTCTATTAAAAACTGAAAATAATTTCAGATATATTGAATTATGCATACGGCGCTCTATTTCCTCCATGTTTAATATTCACTTAAACTAGTAAAAGATAATGTTTGATATTTGTGTTATATATGTAAAAATATTACAAATGTAAGCACCGGAAAGCAAACTTACTCATTTAGTGTACATATAGTTTACTGGATTTTTTTTTATTTTCAAAATCAAGCATACATCAATGAAGACTACCTCAAAGCGGTACCCCTGAAATAATAATAACATTACATACATTATATATGTAAAACAATTTTAAAAAACTATTAAAAAATACAAAAAACAACCTTGAATACACATTTAACAATAAAACATGATTAAAGTATTCAGAAATTATTTAACGTAATTCGTCATAATTAAAGTGATAATGGCGTTCCATAGTTTAAAAATACTGTCGAAATTAACTTGTTATATTACACATTTTTAGGCCGTTTTTGAATGTTTACTAAGACAGGAGTTAATCAGAGTTGTAATTTATATAAATTAAACTGTTTTCCATGAAAAGTATAATACAGATCGCTTGAAACACCTGTTGACCTTCAACGGATAAAGAACGGGTAAAATTTCAACAAATACTCATAATAAACTTACGACCCCACATTAATAATTCCTATTATGATCTGTAATATTTTAAGGAAAATATACCAACCCACTTTACAGTGTACTTTACTGACATTTATTTTGTTTACACTTATTTTGTTGTTGTTGTCGCCATTATGCAGTCGCTATTCTGAGTATCGGAGACGCTTTGTTAGCCTATGGAAGACCGTTGTCGTCAGAAAAAAATCACAAAAATAACGCGATAAAAACCCGTTTTTTTCTATGTTGCGCAACTTAGATTTTGCTAGACTTTTGATATGATTCATGTTATTCCATATACTTTCTATACCAGGTAAAATATTTTCTGTTGCAATTTGTTTGAGGTCGATTTACAGACTGACTGGACTAGAAGTAAAGCTGTTAATATCAATGTTTATCCGTTGTACACACGAAATATATTGACGACCTGTCCTAACAAGGACAGAACAATAAAATTTACTGATAACAACGTTTTTAGGGAAAAAAACAAATGTCACTTGAATATGCTGTGAAAATAAACAAAGAATATCTTTGTACATAGTTTACTGATAACATACTAGTGTATTGTTTTACACAATTATTTTCTTACTTGCGAAATATAAGTATTTAGCAAGGTTACAGATATTCTTTTTAGAATTAACGGACATTAACTTTTGAAATTTATTGATTGATGGCCAATGATGATACGTAGTACGGTTTTAGATATTTAATTCTTAAATCTTGATAACGCGGACAAGCGAGGAGGAAATGAAATTCTGTTTCCGGTTGTCGCATATTACACGATTTACAGAGGAATGTTATGACAGGTCGTCGATAAAGGAAACTCTTAATCTTGCAATCGCGATTCTATATTTATTTTCCGTCATGACACTCAAGTAATTTTCTAACTCGAAGTTATGTTTGAATATACAATAATATTTTAAACGACTAGAGTTATTTATATCGGAGTACCAAGATTGTCGATATATATCGAAAAGCCGTTGTTTAAGCATGTTAAAAGGTATGTCAATTTCGAATTGTTCATTCCATATAAACATTAGCCCAATCTCAGTCATTAATGTTTTAATGTGGGAAGCCCAGTTATTATTTCGGTACATATATCCCTGGTTTGTATCGGATTTTAAAAATAAATACGTTTTCTTTATTAAAGATGAATCATTTTGTTTCAAGATTTTTATCCAATATTTGATCATATTTTTTTTTCTGTATATATGCAGTGGAAATCGCCCTAGTTCACCATATAATGCCGTTAAATTAATCGACCTTTCTACACAGAGTACTCGTCTCAGAAACTTATTGTGTATAGGTTCGATGTCATCTGCCTTATGCATACCCCATATCTCTGAGTCAAAATTTAGTATGGAACCAACCAATGGGTCAAACAATTTACATGTCTGTGCGACCGTTATTTCTATATTTTTAAAGATTAAAAAAATTTATGCAGCGCAAAAGATGCGTGTTGTGCTACACACTTTTGTGTTCGGTGCCAATTACCGTTTTTTAACGTACTTAAATGATTGAACGACATATATTGCTGTATTATATATGTATTATATATGTAAAATACATACTGGGTATGTCTACCCTTTTCGAATATCATAGCTTTTGTCTTTGATATATTAATTTTCAGGCCCCATAAGTTACAGTAATTCTCAACATCGTTTAATATTGACTGAAGGGTTTCGGGAGATTTTGCAAAGAGAACCTGATCATCTGCAAATAGTATAAGGAATAACTTCAGCTGATTTACTGTAAATATATCACTTAAGTTACTGTCTATATTATCTATGAGATCGTTCACGAACAACATAATGATCAAAGGTGAACTCGGATCTCCCTGCTTCAATCCTTTGTCGAAGGTGAAAAAGTTTGAAAGATAACATTAGAGTACATTGATCTAATTGCTTTCACAAGTGTACAACTTACATTTTTAGATAACAATTTTTGCCATAAGTATGATCGATCAATTTTATCAAAACACTTTTCATAGTCAATAAAGATACAAAATAATTTATCGCCAGAGTTAAACACTTTAGAAATAATCGAATGAAAAATGAAAATGCAGTCTGTAATTGATTTACCTTTTTGGAAACCAAACTGATTCTGTGTTATTTTTCCATGACATTCAGCCCATTTTGTCAGTCGGTTCAATAGAATTTGCGAGTAGATTTTGGCTAAAATATTTATGAGGGTAATTCCTCGATAAGTTTGTGGATCGTTTACATCACCTTTTTGAAAATTGGAGTTAAAATTCCTCCCCCACCCCCACCCCCAACTTGTCGGGTATTCGCTAGAACTAAATAACCTATTGTAAAGTTTGAGTAAAAATGAAGATAGTATATCGGAAGTCAATTTGAAAATTTCACTTGGTAGAGTGTCAGTACTTGGTGATTTATTATTGTTTTGGTCGAAGACTGCGGTACGAAGTTCGAGTTCCGTGATTTCTGTATCTAAATTCTAGTCTTGTTTATTTTCGTCAAAGAATATTTCAGAACTTTCACTTTGTTGTATTTCCGTACCAAACAAAGATTTAAAATGGTTGTGTAACCGTGTAATGGTTAGAGAATTAGGTTGTACGGCATTACCTTTCGAAATATTTTTTAATGTTTTTCCAAAATTCTTTAGACTGTTTTCTCGCCATTTGACTAACTCGCAGGCCCTCTTTTTTCCTGTAAGACTGTTTTGCTCTTTTCTTAGCTTTATTATATTACGTACGTGCCGCAACAAAAATGATGAAAAAGAAAAATGTTTAATGCAACTATCCAAATGATAATTACTTCAAAACTGATAACAAAATGTACGTCATTTGCATGCTTACGAGCTTGTGTGCATATAACATAATTCCCATCTGTTGTTATAAAGTTAATTCAGGTTTGAAACATAATCGACACTATTTCATTTTAATATAGCAAAATTACAAACTGTGAAATCTTTAACATTTGATATAAAATATTGATGTACACTATGTACAGCGGCAAACATTTGGACAACATTTTATCATTTGTCATACGGGAATCAAATAACCAAATAAAAGTTAGCTTGTAGAAAGGAAGCATGAAAATGTTCTTTATTTTTGTTTTCTTTTTTTATTTGTAATACAGGAAAGTTGTAATTGGAATGTATGAAAATCGAATTAATGCAACGATTATGCAGTTTACTGAGACCTAGCCTTCGTTTGTTGATCGTAACCTTATAAGTGAACATTTTGTAATGTTTAAAATGTATTTTGTACGATAAACAATGAATGAGGGAAATAGACCGGTGAAATTTCCAACAACAGTCTAAACAAAAAAGATTAGAGGAAAATTGGCAAAAAATGGTGTCTTTCTTTCGTGAATATTTACGAAAAGAAACAAGAAAATTGTATTGCAAAAATGTCACTGCTAGTTTATATAGACTATGTGCTGATTCATAAGCTCCGTGATTATTGACCTCAGCGTTAATAACAAGTTTACCGTGAACAAAATATATCGAAATTAATAAGGGTTACAAACCCTAATTTATAATAATTTAGTTTTCTTCAGACTGTTATCTGATCGCTTAGGAAGCGAGAGGTCTGGGTTTCAAATCCCAGTTAAGGCAACTCATGTTGTTGTTGATTTTTAAATTGTTTAAGCCAAATAAACATTGAATTGAATATCAGTGTTGTAATTAGTCTTATAGCCAATTTACTACAGTTATAACACTGGAAACAGCGTTGGTGGCTGGTGGTACTATACAAAAAAAATTGGTTTATAATGTCACAACCTTCACCTTTCTAGCATTACGAGACCCAAACAAATTCAGCGCCTTCTGTGCTTTGATTTCTTTCCCAGTTGTTCACTAGGTACTGGATCAAACATATAAATTATTTACATACGCATTTATTCCGATTATAATCAACTATTTTCATTGTAAACGCATACATTAAACATTACATTTCGCGTATATTTTAGAATATAATTATGCATGCATGTTAATCGAAAAAGTAATTTATGCACTATTGCAACGCTATAATAAGGTTCGCTGCAAACTGTAGATTGTAATTATTACGTTCAAGTTAAAACCTACAATGATAAATGGATTAATTATAATTGGTATGTTTATCCCTTCTTCATTAATTATAATTTTTTACTTCTGATTTATTTCTGACAGATAGTAAGTTTATTTTTGCAATGTAATTGTTTTTGTTTTTGAATAAAAAAGAAAACACAAATAAACGCAAGTAATTTTAAATATGTTCTTGTTTTCATTTTATTTAGTTTTATCAAAAGGCATAAACCGATTTATACATATTTTGTGTTTAACATGTCTTAATTAAATGATTCATTAAAAGAATTGCAGTCAAATACCTTAAGTAATACATGTATATAATATCGCAGAATAATATATCATTTTACGGACACTAAATTTAGCAACTAAACGTAGGCGTAAATTGATAAATTGACCTGTCAAAAATAATCAAGTTAATAACTGTACATTTGTGTAACATCATTTGATTAATTCGAATCTTTTGAATGATTGTAAACAACCTTAAACTTTTCAAAAAGATATTAATAAGTAATAGACGAAGTATTCCTCTTTGTTAAATTAACAATAAAATAGAGTTAATCTTCATTTAAAATGAACTGTCTGCATAATCCACATCCTTAATTCACACAGCCTTACTAAAATGTAAATTTTCTATTGCGCCTCAGGCGATAGATAGTATTACGTTATTGTTTCAATGTATTGTCTATTTTCATGTTTTTTAAGCACATATATGCTCAGGGTGAGCTATTAGGATCACTCTTCGTCCGTCGTCTGTCGTCCGTTGTCCGTTCACACTTTTAAAACGACATCTCCCCTGAAACCATAAGGCAGATCATAATGAAACTTCACAGGGATGTTCATGGTGAAGCCTTAACAAAGTTCTTCAAAGAATTCCATTCCACGCAGAACTCTGGTTGCCATGGCAACCAAAAGAAAAAACTTTAAATATCTTCTTCTAAAAACCCGAAGAGCTAGAGCTTAGATATTTGGCATGAAACATCTTCTAGTGAGTGTCTACCAAGATTGTTCAAATAAAAGCCCTGGGGTCAAAATTGGCCCCGCCCTAGGGGGTCATTGATTTTTCGTATATGCATATAGTAAAAACTTAAAAAATCTTCTTTTAAAGAACCGAAAGAGCTAGAGCTAAGATATTTAGCATGAAACATCTTCTAATGGGTGTCTACCAAGTTTGTTCAAATAAAAGTCCTGGGGTCAAAATTGGCCCCGCCCCAGGGGGTCATTGATTTTCCATATATGCATATAGTAAAAACTTGAAAAATCTTCTTTTAAAGAACCGAAAGAGCTAGAGCTAAGATATTTAGCATGAAACATGTTCTAATGGATGTCTACCAAATTTGTTCAAATAAGAGCCCTGGGTTCAAAATTGGCCCCGCCCCGGGGTCATTGATTTTCCTTATATGTGTATAGCATTTGAAAAAAACCAAACAGCTAGAGTTTAGATACTAAGCATGAAGCCTCTTCTAGTGAGTGTCTACCAAGTTTGTTCAAATAAAAGCCCTGGGGTCAAAATTGGACCCGCCCTAGGGGTTATTCATTTTCTTTATAAGTGTATAACAAAAACTTAAAAAATCTTCTTTGAAAAAACTCAAATAGCTAGAGTTTAGATATTAGGCACGAAGCATCTTCTTGTGAGTGTCTACCAAGTTTGTTCAAATAAAAGCCCTGGGGTCAAAATTGGCCCCGCCCCGGGGGACATTGATTTTCCTTATATGTGTATAGCAAAAACTTAAAAATCTTCTTTGAAAAAACCTGAATAGCTAGAGTTTAGATATTAAGCATGAAACATTTTCTAGTAAGTGTCTACAAAGATTGTTCAAATAAAAGTCCTTGGGTCAAAATTGACCCTGCCCCAGGTGTGTCATTGTTTTTAACTATATGTGTAAAGAAAAAACTTGACCAGCTAGACTTTAGATGTTTAGCATGAAACATCTTCTAATGGGTGTCTACCAAGTTTTTTCAAATAAAAGCCCTTGGGTTTAAACTGGCCCCGCTCCGGGGGCCTATATACAGGTGAGCGACTTCAGGGCCATCATAGCCCTCTTGTTCATATCAAGCGGAGCATTTTACTAAAGAAAATGCATGTTTTAGACACGAAGTGTTGACAGTTTTACTATATCAATACAATTAGGATATTTTTTTCTGGTATGACGTAAACTCTCCATAACTTGCATTTGTTATCAATTTATCTTATTACATGTGTTATCTTTTTGACAATAGATTTACTACTATTGTTTTGTATCATTAACAACGTCTTATCACTTTTCTTATCGTTTTATTTTTCAGATATAAAAGTATAGAGTGCCCTCGGAAAATATCAACATGACGTACAGCTCTGTTATAAAAGTCTACTCGTTATCTTTATCAACGAAGTTTGTAAAACTTTGTCTGAAAACGAACTGTCTTAGGCGTTTCTTACTCATTGGATCATTAGCAATTGCCGTGTCATATGTTGGTTATTACTTGTTTTCAGATAGTATCATACAAGATAAAACAAGTAATTCTTTGTCACAAAATCATAGGCTGCATGTTTATCTGGGAAATATTGATAATGATCCATATATAAAATCCATGAGAGAAAAATTTCCTCTTAAAATGATATCAAACTTATCAAAACTTATAAATGCAACTAATCCAAAATATGCATTAACAATAAATAGTTCATACCTTATAGAGAATCCAAACTTGTGCAAACGTGCCCTTAACTTTTCAGTTCTAGTTATCGTCAATTCAGCAACAGACAACTTTGAAAGAAGACAAGCGATAAGAGCTACTTGGACTAATGATTCCTATTATCACCACTTAGGCAAGGTTAAGGTTATGTTCCTGCTCGGTAAACCTCTGAACAACATTGTACAGGAAATGATAAAAAGAGAATCTGAAGCATATGCTGATATTTTACAAGGAGATTTTGTCGATACATACTTCAATCTAACTCATAAAGGAGTCATGTCCTTCAAATGGATCCAAGAAAGCTGCCGAAATCCAAAGCATATTCTCAAAGTTGATGATGACATTCTTGTAAATATGTTCCTATACTTTGAACACATTCAAAATACTCCGAAGGTTCGGGACGCTAACGTGTACTGTCATTACGGCACCAGTCCTGTTGTTAGAAAACAGTCAATCAAGTGGTATATAAGTGACAATCATTTTAGAGGCGTAAAATATTATCTCAACTTCTGTCGGGGAAAGTTTGTGAGTATGACAAATGACATTATTCCATCGTTATACCTGTCTGCTTCCAAAACACCATTCTTCAAATTGGATGACGTACTTTTATATGGATATGTCATGCATAACATCCCGAGTTTGAAATACGAAACTCTTGCTTGGAATGAAATGCAGGAAGACAATGGAAATGCTATAAAATGCTTCGAAACATTAAAAGACAAATGCCAATTGGTAATAATGCAAGCGAGTGGAATACATGAAATGTCAGAAACTTGGTCTACAGTGCTGAAGTATTTCAAAAAATAAAACGAATTTAATTCGTCTTCGATGTCATTCATTATAAGAAATGGTTAATCAGATGTTGAATGTAAAACCCCACACAAAACTTTTATCATTTATCTGTTGTAGTTTTATCTGTTTGGTCTATGTTATTAAATTTTTATACGAGCTGTCATTCATACCCTTCTTTACCATAGAAAAGGATTGGTTATTATAAATGATGGTGTAATTCTAAATGTGTTCGATTTATATATGTTAATGAGTGTAAGAGAAATGAGTGCCATATTTGAATAGCAATAATTTTGATTATATCACTTATATACGGAAGCTTATCAGGGCCTACAGTTGATGAGATGTTTTGCGCTAAGTCGACTTATTTTTATTCGAATTGATAAGATATTTTTGCATTTCTCAATAAAATTTACTGACAAAGATGAGAAACTTTTAGGTTTTGATTGTATTTTTCTCGATATGCTTGAAGCTTTTGTCTCTTTGACAAAAATCCTGTCAGAACTTTGTGATTTCACGACTTTGCTGTAATATTTAGTAAGACACAAAGACGATACTCGCATTGACAAATAGCTCACGTTATTCAACAATTTTTTTTTGCAATGATTAAAAACTTCTACGTATTACGCATTAATCATAACGTCTTCATGAAATGTTTTTGGTCAAAACGAGAAGAAACAAGTTGACATGACGTGAAACTTTTAGATAAGTGGAGGCCCTGATAAGCTTCCGTATAAAAATGATCAGTTGACAGCTTTATTTCGCAAAATATACAATGTATGCATGTATGTGTTCTACTTATTAACACTAACATCTTTGTTTTATAAATGTCTGCACGTTCTGACTAAAAATAACACATCGAAAATATGTACATATATTACAACATACAGACGAATAGCTTGTCTTACACCAGTTTAACTACAACAATACAATTCAATGTCAATCAAAGAACATACATTAAACTTAATTACTTTTTTGTAACAATCGGTTTTATTTCAAAGCGCTTTAACTAAAACACATCAACGTTTACTTCATTGAACTGAACATGATAGTTTATATTGATTTACATGTGTATGCTAAACATTTAGTCTGAGAAACCATAAAAAAAGTGATAAAGTGATATAGGTATTGGCACTGTATGTTTTAAGGCAGGCCATCGTGTTATTGAACGTGGCAGGTGCTTTTTTAGGATTAATAACGTATAGCTATTTAATGATTGTATCATAGTTTGAAGACCTTTCTGTTGAAAATGTGCCAGGGTTAAATAATATACATATACATGCACAGTGCGTTAACTGGAGTGCGGGTATTAGTTACCCGCACTCCAGAGCATGCCCATTGATTGGCTCATTTTTGCTGGGGTTTACATATTGTGACGGCAGTGAAAGTGAAATCGACAGAAATGTCATATTTAGATGCTCGTTCATTGGTTCATTTTTGCCGGGGTTTCATATTGTAACAACAGGGAACGTGTTTTTATGTTTGACTATGATACAAAAGAGAAAGAACACCAAAACACTCGGTAATCTGATTAGTACAAATCAGATAACCTCGTGTTTCGGTGCTCTTTCTATTACTTATATTAATAGGTTTGTGAGGGGAACAGTGTATGACTGTATAAGTGATTTACACAACCTCGTTAAACACTATATTAGGATATATCTGAAGACAAGTTCTTCATTAAAATACATAACTGTAGGTGTATGACAATATATGAAAAGATTAAATTCATATATAATACTTACAAATTAGTAATATATGTAATGTCACGGGGGGGAATCACGTGATTTTGTATAGTAATACCCACGAGAAAATGGCGACTGCTGAGCCCCGGTAAGTACCTTATTATGTTAAATTAAGGTGACAAACGTTTCTTAAATCAAAACAAAACCTAGCGTATCATATGCGCGTTAATTTTCTTCAAATGACAATACAAAGTGCATTATCCTACGTTTTGTGGTTTTTGAGAACATTGTTTGAATTGGTTGAAAATTGCACATTCAGGGATAGTAATTCGCACGAAGCGATAAAATTTGGTACCAAAATAAAGGAAAATAAGCTTACTTTCTGCACTTAAGACACAAAATCAATCATTTTATTGACATCTGTTATCATAGAAGTCCATATAAAATATATTTTCGAAGGCATGTAGCCTACAAATGTTCTTTGCAAGTGTATAGTAAGTAAAACGAACAATTTCTGGATAGTAAGTCGCACGAAAACAAAATAGTAAGTTTCACGCACAGTTTCCATTAGCATACATATACATTAAAAGAAAGTTAAAGTCCATATGTAAAGAGATAGAAAATACTTATTTCAATTATTCAAGATCAAATATTTCACTTTTTGTCTATAGAACGAATGCTTAATTGGTTGTAATCATAATATATCAAATGAACTTTTGATGGGATTTGATATTACACGGCTCAGTGTTATTTTTCTGTTGCGATAGTAGTTCTTTGACCTCTGCAGTTTCAGGTGTGTCTTTGCCCTCATTTTACTGTAATTAGAAAAAAGATGAACAAATATAATTGCTTGTTATTTGGTATGGTGATGTTTATTAACTGAATGCTGATGTTTTTATATGGCGGTATTTGTTACATTTAGTCACTATGTTACTTTAATTTATGAAAATATATTGAAGAATTCGCAAGAACAAAATAACATCTTACAAAAACAAACAACAAAAAAACAACAAAAAAAACCAACCAAAAAGCAACAAAAAAAACAAACAACAATGATACAGCGATTCAAATTATGATTAAAGGCACATTGTGCCTCAGAAATCCATATTGTTTTAATTCTTTAGAAATGTCAAACATGTGTTTTATAATGTTTAAATAATGGATAAAACGCATGATAGAATTTTATTACAACTGAAAAAGGTAGCACTGAACATTAAGTGATGTGTCGTTAAGGTAGCAAAATGTAACAAAGTAGTAGTTTGACTTCCATACGAAATACTTATTCACTAAAGGTATACCATTTTCCATCAGAACCAAAGATGCAAAAGGTAGTTTGAGTATCTAGCAAATGAGTATGTTTTCGGAAACTGTAACAAGATACCAAAAATAAACAGATTTTTTTTTTAAATAAGCATTTAAGAGGCATAATTGACCTTTAAAGAAAACGAATATTTGAAATCAAACGGTCAAAGATATTTACACTTTTTAAAGTGAAGGCAAGTGGAGTAAAAAAATAAATTACATAAAACAATCTAAGATGCTGGGTTTCAAATCACACCGTCAATGTCGGGACACCTGAGTTAAAGCACCGACGTTTTGTTAGCTAGTTTGATGAAAGAATTCAAGGACTCTGGTCGGACTAGAATCCATAGCGATGAGAAGCATGTGTATAAAATCAGGGACATTAAACACTCGGCCATGGACGCCCTGAATATCTTATTTACTTACTCTATCACAAACAAAAAGTAAGAGTTTACGACGCAACACATTTGCACATGATAAGAAAATAAGCGTATAATTAAACATAACGTTTTAACAAAACTTCTTGGGTTTATTTATAAAATCTGCCAGTGTATAAAAGAATAAATTTAATAAAAACTTGGTATACCAGTTCTATGATGGCATTTAATATCAATGTGATATGGCGAATGTCTTCTCCTTTGCGTTTTTGGTCCAAATTGCAGGTACTGAAAAGTAAATGATGGTGTTGTAATATTTCCTTCTGTACAGTTATTTCTTTATATAGCTAGTTCTAAGGATAACGGATGTGGGTCCAGTCTAACGTGAAAAGGGGCCAAGTGTAACATACATTGTTGAGTATCAATGTCAATTTAGTTTGTTCTTTTAAGTTAAGTAATCTTTTATGAAATTATATGAATATAAATACATGTATTATGAAATACATGTAATATGAATTATTATTAAAATACTCTCTCGATATTTGTTTCTCTGTCACCGTAGACGGAACACTCTTGCAAATTTGAAACCAAATAATTATAAAATAGTTTCGTCACATTTTAGTAAGCTATTGGAAACTGTGCGTGAAACTTACTATTTTGTTTTCGTGTAACTTACTATCCAGAAATTGTTCGTTTTACTTACTAAACACTTGTAAAGAACATTTGTAGGCTGCAGACCTTCGAACAAAATTTTATATGGAATTCTACAAGAACAGATGTCAATAAAATGATTGATTTGGTGTCTTAAGTGCAAAAAGAAGGCTTAGTTTCCTTTATTTTGGTACCAAGTTATATCTCTTCGTGCGAATTACTATCGCTGAATGTGCAATTTTCACACAATTCAATCAATGTTCTCAAAAACCACAAAACGTAGGATAATGCACTTTGTATTGCCATTTGAAGAAAATTAACGCGCATATTATACGCTAGGTTTTGTTTTGATTTAAGAAACGTTTGTCACCTTAATTTAACATAATAAGTTACTTACCGGGGCTCAGCAGTCGCCATTTTCTCGTGGGTATTACTATACAAAGTCACGTGATTCCCCCCCCCCCCCCCCCGTGAATGTATGTGTAAATATGTTTCTATCTAGCATATAATGTAATAACTATTTCATATCTTAATTTATACACACGTACACATGTATAAGATGATCTACTTTCTTGACAAGTTGTCACAAGTGTAATGCAAATAGCAAGTAACATGATCTTGTCACAAAACCATGCCCTCGTTGAATTTAAATAAATCACAAACCCAAGACACAATCCGCAAGGCTACTTTATGACTTTAGTATTGAAGTTTTTATAATGTAGGAGAAATTGAAAACAGAATCCTATTCTTCAAAATTTCAAATCAGATCACCATTCCACTTAAAAAAAAGCGATTATAACAACATCCGCAGAGTATTCATACACAGAGATAAAATGTATTTTATTGGCGTAAAAAGTAAACTTTTTTGTGCGAATCACCCTAGCTTTTACTTACAGATTTTACCCCATACTGTCGTAAACTTTTATAATATTGGTAACGTGCGTTTCAGTTTTCTGACAATAATGTTGTTACATAAAAATGCAGTAAGTACTTAATACATATTATAAACATCATTGTTTTGTGGAATGTTATAGCTAATATGTACATTTGAGTGAAAAGATAAAAAATGATCAATATAATCATAACTTTGCCATTTTAAACAACCACTTATTGTACTAATCCCAACCAATGTAGATGAAAAAAATAATAACTTATAAAATTCACATCTTACCGGCGGAACATTACAAGATCTATTTAGGCTTTGCTGTTTCAAAAGTCTTCTTGTCAAATAAACCTTTTTACATGAAGT